CGACACACAATGCTTTCATATATTTATGTATGTGCCAGTTTTACCGTTATATATTTTTTATCTACTCGTTTATTCCATGGGGTATTCATGCTTTATTTAAATTTAAAAAATTAAATTACTATACCGTTTTAAAAATCTGAAAATTCACTGCGGGAAATTTTTTAATTCTATTTTTGTCTTCGCCTTCTCGTTTTTGGCTTTATATGTATGTAAGTTTTGAAAAAAGGTTTTGAACGAACCATTATATCACATTCCTAGGCAAGCTTTGAAAGAATATTTTCGATACTAAATTTTATTAAAACAAAATGTTGAAATCAGCTTCATATAGAAACAGTGTCATCGTTAATTAAGAAAGAGATGTTCTTAAATATCATAACTTTACGGCACTCACATATTGACTAGATTTGACTATTTATTTTATTATATTTTAATTTGAATTATTTGTTTATAAAAATATAGTTTATTCCTTAACAAACACTAAATGAAAATAAGTTTAATCTTTGAACAACATTAAAAAAAAATCGACAAACTTTCGTAAAAATTTCGAACTTTCTATTTAAATTTTATCTCTTACTATTTTACAGTTTTTTAGCTCATTCAATTTTAGTGTAAATTTAAAGTAGCTGTGATTTACAGTTGATATATGGCAAATTTTCTTCCATATTATCTAAGTATGTTCGACGATTTTTTTAAGGAAAAAATGAGCAACGTATTCATCAAAAAAAAAAAATATATTAAAAATCAACGATAAGTCGCAGCTATATATTTTAAATTTGCGCTTTATTTGAATTGATCGGGCTACAAACCTGCATACTCAAAATATGTATTTATAGGAAATCTAATTAAAAAGCTCTACGAAATTTTGTTGATTTTTTTAATGTTGCGCAAAGATTAAAGCTTGGATTTATACGGGTTTTGTTAAAGTGTAAACTGCATTTTTATAAACAAATAATTAAAATTATATAATTTTAAGATAAATGGCCAATCTAGTTAACATGTATAAAGTTTTGATAAGCACTTGAAATGTCAAGTTTTAGTACTGAATTCAAAGAAGATGTCTCTTTTATCCATTCATAATAACTTTAAAGAATTTGTTTGTTAAGAAGTGTATCTTAAAATATCTGCCTTGACATTTATGTTAAAAGTGTAAAATATGTAAATGTACCTACATAAACTTTCCCGTGAATACCATCAAATCATTGGTCTTGAAGGGAATCTATGTATGCATGCATGCATATTAGCAAATTAAAAAGTCGATACAATTTACAGCCGAAAAGTACAGTTTTTGTATAGATTATAGATTATTTCCCAACACTGTGGGGACTAAGCAAAATGGCCTAGTGTATTTCGCAAATATTCAAATACATAATCCACCAACCGATAATTTTATATATTCATTAAAAGATAATTTGTCATCAGTCTGAAATAAAACAAGTAAGAAAGTCTAAGTTCGGGCGGAGCCGAACATTAAATACCCGGCGCAAGTATCAAATATATGTTTTTTCACCTTTCCGAAACCTTCCGCTAGATGGTAAGCCGGGGTGTATCAATTTTGAGTAAATTAGCGTCCTTCAATTTCGAAATATTGAAGTTTCAAGCATTTCTGAAATTTACCGTTATATGAGAAGCGGCCGTTATTTTAGTCCGATTTCAATAATTTTCAACGTTTTGCTTATATGTGGCAAGCACAATAACCACACCGAGTTTGGTACAAATTGGTAGAACGGTTACCGATATACTTATATGTGATCATAAGTGGGCGGTGCCACGCCCATTTTCCAAAATTGTACCATAAACGTATTTCTTGGTAAAGAATTGTTGCAAGCATCAATAAAAATAAATTAGCTTCAATATTTACTGATTTATCGAAGATTATGTATTTCTCTAAATTACCGTTATATGGGAGGTGGGCGTGGTTATTGAGCGATTTTAAAAATTTTCGGCCATTTGGTATGTTGTGCGAAGACCAACAACTGTGCCAAGTTTGGAAGAAATTGGTGCAGCGGTTACCAAGTTATACACATGTAACCATAAGTGGGCGTGGCTACGCCCATTTTCCAAAAATTTATAATATTCTTATTTTTCGTCTAAAAATTATTGTAAATATCAATTTTGAGTGAATTATCTTCAGTAGTTACTAAAATATCGCAGTTTTCGTATTTCTGGAAATTACCGTTATATGGGAAGTGGGCGTGGTTATTGTCCGATTTTCAATACCAACCTACCTTGGATTAACAGAAACCTACATACCAAATTTCGTTGAGATATCTCAATTTTTGCTCGAGTTATCGTGTACACGGACGGACGGACAGACAGACATGGCTTAATCGATTTCTTTTTTCATTCTGATCATTTATGTATACATTTGTCTATATCTATCTCGATTCGTTTTGGCTGTTACAAACAACCGTTATGTGAACAAAATTAATATACCCTTGTGCACAAGTGCGCTCGGGTATAAAAATTATAAATCGGAAGGGTAAAATAGTATTGTGTTATTAATTCAAAAATAAAAAGTTTCATTTCACAGACGAAGGGGGGGAAGGGGATCTATCCCCAAATCCCCCCTGGCCACGCCACTGCATCGGATTGATTAATTTTTTGGGCAATGCGACCAAAGATATTTGGACTTTTCAGCGGGAAATCGCTGTTATTCACAGAATGCAAACAACAAAATAGGTATTAAAGGAAAGAAAACCCCACTTTTTGAGTTTCTAGCTTTAAATCAGGGCTTGAATTCCCCTGAGGATTTGTAATATCTACTCTTAACAAGATTTCATGCCACGAAAATTCTTTCCCGTTATCTTACCGGGCTCGGGATATTATAGGCCGTGATATAACATGGAAAAATAATAAAACGGTTTTTAGTATGAAAATAGCTCATTAATATTCAAGTTTTTAACACCCAGTTGTCAATGTACTTTTTTGTTGAGAATTTATGACACTGCAGCAATCGGAAGCCGAATAACTCCATATACACATATAATTATTTTATATTGAATGTAATACTGATTGCTGACACGGTAGATAAAATTATACACGAATACCAACCTAGTGTATGGAAAATACTTATAAACCAAGGGCTATTATAACTGCATACCATAAAAAACGTTACCCCTATTTAATACAGAGAAATCGGGGAAAAATATGATGCACATATAATTCTTTTACTAAGGTACATGCATGTAATTAGGTGGAAAAACTAAAATAAAAAATCGTCATTATGGGGGGAAAAATCGTCAAAACGTCATTGAGCTAAAAAAAACGTCAAAATGACGACGAAATCGTCAATTTGGCAACGCTGCTTGAGACTTACACCACTAACAACGAAATTTTTGAAGCTATCAACAAATTTGTACAGAAAAATGGTTTGAAATGGAGCAAGTGTACGGATATTTGCAGTGGTTGGAAAAAGATAGCAGCGATGTCTAGGATGAAGGAAGAATCAGAAAACGCCACGATAAGTCCCTGTATGATCCGTTGGCATTACTTGGCGACTAGGAAGATGTCGTCACAGAGGCCTGTGAAATTAAAATACATCTTTGGTTTTTTCTAGCACGTCGAGATTTTTCTTATTGGTGACATGTATGTATATTTTAGAATTTCTAGCAATTTGCATGAAAACCCCATAAATAAACAAAGTAAATCAGAAAAACGTACATATGTAACTTCGAAGTTAACGCTAAGAAAATTGATAACATTCGGTTTCACCACCAATTTAAATGGAAAATGATTTTTTATTTTCTGTCAATTTCAATATTAAAAAAATTAAAGTCATTTTTCACTTAAATTGCTTTCGTGAAATTGGCTGTAAAAGTTATTTTTTTAGCGTTAACGAGCATTACCAGCGTTAACTTGGAAGGTTTAGAAAAAACCATTGTCGACTATTTTCCCAACATTGACTCTGAGGATGTCTACACCTAGAAAACAAACCCGTTTTCATGTGACCTGAAAAGTAAATCTACTGAGATGACAAATTAAGCTTTTGATAACCTTCTGGACATCAGTGACGACATCACTTTGAATATTAAATACTACGAAAGGAGCCAAGAGAGTTCTGGATGCAAGTGTATGCAGAAAACGCTGCTGTTTGCAAGATTGCATTAAACTTTTAGTGACTTTTACTTTTACATTTCTATGTGAGACTGCATTTTCAACAAATGCTTACATAAACAAGTAATTTTTAAGCAAAAAACACAACCGACTTCAATTCCCATATAAAAATTTAAGATTATCGTTAATCTCTTCATGATCCAATGATCGAATTTAAACCAAATTAGAATGGGACCGCATGTGAGGTAACTTCTTTCCTTTGAAAAAAAAAGAATTATAGTAATCGGTTACCGTAGTCCAAAGTTATGCGGTAGCATACATAAAAATAATAATAATAAAAAAATATTCCGACGAATTGGTAACCTTCTCCATTTTGTGAAGTCGGTTAAAAACCAATACACCAGCAAGCTTTCAGCGTCAAATGGTTTCAGGGTAAAATTGTCAAAGCTCCCAATAAACATAAGGAAAATAAGGAAATCATCAAAACAAGTTCGGTCCTCACATTAAAGCTAAAGGAGCATAAAGTTTGTATTGTGTTTTCTTGTTTTCGTAGACATTTGAAGTGTAGGGGTGCCGCGAATTTTTTTTTACCACAACAAGGGTGCCGCGGTGAAACGGTTTGGGAACCCGTGCTATAAAGAATGAAGTTTTGTGAGTTAAAAACTCGAAAGGAGAAAATAGTAAAAAATTCAAAGTACAAATTGTTCATATAATGAAACTAGTTCATAGTAAAATAAACTTTTCTAAAATAAATGTATTTTTTTTAATTATTTTTCGGTTTCTTTCTTTTTAGTGCCTTCTTTTGCCTTTTTTGTGATTTACAGTGCCTTTTATGCCTATTTCGCTTATTTTATTTTGCCTTTTCAAGCCTCTTTCGTTATTTCATTTTGCTTTTTTTATAGGTTTTTAGGTCCTAAAAATCCGTTCCCTGCTTATAACCTACTTACATACAAATCTTTTTCACTCCTCTTTTAACTACTACTTACCTTTGTATAAACACCAGCGCTGCTTAATTCATTCTCAATCACCATTACTATTATGCCAAACATGCCCATTACAAGAGCATAATCACTAATACGTTTTCTTTTCTCAAATAGAGCTTTTCGTTTACCTAGCCTGTATCCGACATTAGGTTTGTGCTTTGCTGAAATCGTTGAAGGTTTCCGCGATGTATTACCGCCTGTGAGAGCACGCTCCTCCATATACCTGCGCGATGTGATGAAAAATAAATAGATATGTAGATTCATTCACTTACATAAGTATATCACAGAAAGTGCAATAAGATCAATACGAATACATTTATTTTGCTTAAATGTGTAAGAAACATATTTACTTAATATAAATAAATGTATATATGGTCAACTAAAAATTTCCAACCAAATACTCGCAAATGATAACCCGGCAAAACTCTTGCAAACGAATCGAGTAGCGATATCAATATGATGTAAGAATCATAAAAACCAAGATTGCGCCCATCAGAAAGGATTTTTGAAAACAATATTTGTGTGGCGTCAAACTGGTGAAGTTGCGATCGAGAAATGTCAAAATGCGAGTAAGAATGCAAGAAGAAGAAGAAATTTTGCAAGAAAAATGTTAACAAATTGCACAAGTGTGACGCATAGTGAAACGAATACAGAAGGTGGCGCTGATCGTGATACCGCTACCTCTCTCTTGAAAATTTTGACGGAAGTGTGACGTCATGGCAGGTTTTGTGTATTGCCTGTGTAATAAACATATACATATACAAAACTTATACATACTGACAGTTCTCTCTCAGCTCTCTCCACCGGAAAATCTGCGATGACGTCATATTCAGTGGTGCCATTTTAGCCGTTTTCCGGCTAGATTTAGCCGGTTGCGATAGCAAACAGCCGGAAAAATTTCGGTTTAGCCGGCAGCAGATTTGTTAGCCGTTTTGTAAAAAAAATTAGCCGTTTTTAGCCGATCTTGCTATTTGGCTTGTTTTCTTAAAATTCAACTATATACGTTTCCATTTTTGACTAAGCGATCCAAAATCTGTTAGAAGTGGCTGCTAGCCTTATCGCGGAGAACATTTTCATGTCAGGTAGGGTTATATTTTATATAACCAGTAAAATTGGGCCGATTTCGCTTATTTTTATTTTAAACGAATATATTTTTTCTAAAGAAGGCCGTAGCGGGGATTTTCTTCAAAAAATGTTTGTCATGAATGTCTTTAATTAAGTGTGAAGTTTTATTCGCAAACTTAGAAAATAACAAATTGTTTCACTGTTTGCTTAAAACGCGTTTGTGTTTGGATATAGTGCCAACGCATAGAATAAATATAACAGGTATTGCCTTCCCAGATAGCGCATATTCAATTCTGCCTTAACTAAAAAACATCATTGTTGCCCACGCTTAAAGGTTTGAGGTAAGGGAAAAATTGATATTTTCAAGCAGTATGTAACGGGTGATTTTTTTGAGGTTAGGATTTTCATGCATTAGTATTTGACAGATCACGTGGGATTTCAGACATGGTGTCAAAGAGAAAGATGCTCAGTATGCTTTGACATTTCATCATGAATAGACTTACTAACGAGCAACGCTTGCAAATCATTGAATTTTATTACCAAAATCAGTGTTCGGTTCGAAATGTGTTTCGCGCTTTACGTCCGATTTATGGTCTACATAATCGACCAAGTGAGCAAACAATTAATGCGATTGTGACCAAGTTTCGCACTCAGTTTACTTTATTGGACATTAAACCAACCACACGAATGCGTACAGTGCGTACAGAAGAGAATATTGCGTCTGTTTCTGAGAGTGTTGCTGAAGACCGTGAAATGTCGATTCGTCGCCGTTCGCAGCAATTGGGTTTGTGTTATTCGACCACATGGAAGATTTTACGCAAAGATCTTGGTGTAAAACCGTATAAAATACAGCTCGTGCAAGAACTGAAGCCGAACGATCTGCCACAACGTCGAATTTTCAGTGAATGGGCCCTAGAAAAGTTGGCAGAAAATCCGCTTTTTTATCGACAAATTTTGTTCAGCGATGAGGCTCATTTCTGGTTGAATGGCTTCGTAAATAAGCAAAATTGCCGCATTTGGAGTGAAGAGCAACCAGAAGCCGTTCAAGAACTGCCCATGCATCCCGAAAAATGCACTGTTTGGTGTGGTTTGTACGCTGGTGGAATCATTGGACCGTATTTTTTCAAAGATGCTGTTGGACGCAACGTTACGGTGAATGGCGATCGCTATCGTTCGATGCTAACAAACTTTTTGTTGCCAAAAATGGAAGAACTGAACTTGGTTGACATGTGGTTTCAACAAGATGGCGCTACATGCCACACAGCTCGCGATTCTATGGCCATTTTGAGGGAAAACTTCGGAGAACAATTCATCTCAAGAAATGGACCGGTAAGTTGGCCACCAAGATCATGCGATTTGACGCCTTTAGACTATTTTTTGTGGGGCTACGTCAAGTCTAAAGTCTACAGAAATAAGCCAGCAACTATTCCAGCTTTGGAAGACAACATTTCCGAAGAAATTCGGGCTATTCCGGCCGAAATGCTCGAAAAAGTTGCCCAAAATTGGACTTTCCGAATCGACCACCTAAGACGCAGCCGCGGTCAACATTTAAATGAAATTATCTTCAAAAAGTAAATGTCATGGACCAATCTAACGTTTCAAATAAAGAACCGATGAGATTTTGCAAATTTTATGCGTTTTTTTTAAAAAAAAAGTTATCAAGCTCTTAAAAAATCACCCGTTATGAAAAACGGCCGTAATTTTAGTCCGATTTCAATAATTTTCAACGTTTTGCTTTTATATGGCAAGCACAATACCCAAACCGAGTTTGGTACAAATTGGTAGAACGGTTACCAAGATTCATATATGTGATAATAAGTGGGCGGTGCCACGCCCATTTTCCAAAATTTTATCATAACCGTATTTTGTGCAAGGAATTATTGCAAACATCAATTTTGAATAAATTAGCTTTAATATTTACTGATTTATCGGAGATTACCTATTTCTCCAAACTACGGTTATATGGGATGTGGGCGTGGTTATTGTCCGCTTTTAAAAATTTTCGGCCATTTGGTATGCTGTACCTAAGCCAACAACTGTACCAAGGTTGGAAGAAATTTGTGCAGCGGTTACCAAGATATACACATGTAACCATAAGTGGGCGTGGCTACGCCCATTTTCCAAACATTTATAATATTCTTATTTTCTAAAGCTTACTGTAAATATCAATTTTGAGTGAATAATCTTCGGTAGTTACTAAAATATCGCAGTTTTGGGAGGTAGGCGTGGTTATTGTCCGATTTTGCCCATTTTTAATACCATTGGAAGAAATTGGTGCAGCGGTTACCAGATATACACATGTAACCATAAGTGGGCGTGGCCCATTTTCCAAAAATTTACAATATTCTTCTTTTTCGTCTAAAAATTATTGTAAATATCAATTTTGAGTGAATAATCTTCAGTAGTTACTAAAATATCGCAGTTTTTGTATTTCTGAAAGTTACCGTTATATGGGAGGTAGGCGTGGTTATTGTCCGATTTAGCCCATTTTTAATACCATCCTACGCCCGAAAGAAGTGCACGTACCAAGTTTCGTTACGATATCTCAATTTTTATTCGAGTAAAGAGCGAAATACACCACACAAGCGGTTTGACAAACCAAGCGAAATTTCCCTTTGCTTCAAGCCATTTGTGCTGTGTATGGGGGTGTTTGAAGGTTTGACAAACCGCTTGAGGGAAATTTGAGCAAAAATCAAAATTTTTTGATTTTCTGGCCGCCATGTTGATGTTTGATCAAACCGCTTGTGTTGTGTATAGCAAAATCGCCTCATTCGCAACGAAATTTTCACCGAGTAAGGACGTAAGAGAGGAAAATGAAAGAAAACCATAATATTTAGCATTGCGAACTGGAAGAAAACTAAACTTCTTTGCTTGAACGAGTCATGTTTGCATGGTGTATGGCGAAATGGGAAAAGTAGGTTTGAAGAATGTTTGACAAGCCGCTTGTGTGGTGTATTTCGCTCTTTATCGTGTGCACAGACGGACGGACAGATAGTCACCGCTTAATCGATTTGTGTGATGTTTGATTCTGTGTGATGTTGCGTTGTCATGGCACCGAAGATGCTGTCGGGTGTTGCCATAACTCGTGTTGCTATGGCTTGTGTTGCTTGACTGGCTGTTGCGTGATGTCGTATTGGTAGTTTATGTGTGGCTGGTTGTTTTGATGGCGGGTATTTGTGTGGGCCAAATTCCTCAGGGATATTTGGTCCTCACAATCTATATGTATGTGTGTTGCGTTAACATTATTAAATGTTTTTATTTAATAAATTAAACAAACCCATCAAACATAAATAATTGAAAAGCATTAAAGTAATACCCAACCAAAAACTCCAAATACTCATCTCAGTATTCTTCGTTTCCGAAGCGTTCCCAAGCCTGCAATAATAATATATTCCTTTTCTATGTTTTGACCAACACAGTTTTTCTATACCTTTCATTTCACGCCACTGCACTTTTGGAGAGTATGGTCTTGTTCTGGCTAATGCTAATATTCGTGGTAACAAAATGTTAAGAACAGACATACTGATATTTTAAAAGGTTTTTCTCGTTCAATCCATTTTTGTCTCACAAAATAAAGCGCTGGAAATTTAAAAAATTGTGTTTCCGCAGTGGTATTTTTGTATTTTTGCAGCTTCCAAATTCGGAACTATTTAACTATATTAAAAATTTATTTATTTTTTGTTTTGTTGATAAAATTTTCTGCATAAAAATATTTTATTATAATTTGCAGCCTGGTAGCTAGATTTTGATGAAAATGTCATAAGCCCAACATGGCTGCTAATGTCATTAAGCGAAACTACCCTTTTTTTCTTTGCATATCACTTTAAAACTCCTTTATCAGATAAGCTAATGTTGAAGCTTTTTCCACCTTCTCCATGGCATTAACGTGGGGGTTTTCTTGAGAGGCAGGCTTTTTGTTTAACCTTTCTTCGGTAACCACTTCCCATATATGCCATTTGAACACTTTTGGAAAAATAAGCAATTTAAATAAAAAATCCTTTTCCAACTAAAAGAGACGTTCTGGAAATATTTCACATTTTATGGTGTTTTTTAGAGAGTCTTAAAGCATAAACAGACGGCAGCGTTGATCCGGATCAACGGGGAAGTTAATCCGGATCAACGCTGCCATCTGTTTAAGCTTTTACTTCACGAAAATATAA